CCCATATATCACGGATCTCAGATCGCAAAACTCTCCTTCATTTTCATGTTACTTTGATCCTCTCCACTCTTGATTATGGATGCCATATCTACTCCTCTGCCTCAACTTCTCTCCTTGCCCATCTCGATACAATCCATCACTGTGGTCTTCCCTTAGCACTAGGTGCCTTCCGCTCCTCTCCAGTTGAGAGCCTGTACACTGAATCAGCCATACCATCTCTATCTCGACGTCGTGCCCTTCTCTCTCTCCGATGTTATGTTCGATCCCACACTTTAAGACCTTCTTGTATAATCGATGGCAATCTTTTTGGTCAAGTCTCCGCACTAATAAATTACATACTGTAAAACCATCAATCTCCTCCTGGTCAGCTCCATTTCATCGGAACAGACGTGAGACCGCTCTCGCCCGCTTACGCATTGGCCACACCCGTCTAACACACTCCTATCTGATGTCACAATCCGATCCACCCCTATGTTCCTTATGTAATGTTCCCCTTTCAATCCCACACATCCTATTGTCATGCCCACGTTTTGAAGCAGCCCTTACCTCTGCTTTCCCCCACCTATCCTCCCTTCACCGACCTCCCAACCTATCAGACATCCTTACAGAATCCCACACTTTCTGCTTCAACAAGCTGTTCTCTTTCCTCAAACGCATACATATCCTTCATCTAATCTAACTCCTTTACATTACCACATCAGACCTTAACCCTTTCACTCACCAATTCCTTTGCCCAGCTTTAACAACTAATCACTAACTCAACCACCCTTCACTAACATTTACTATAGTGCTACATGACTTTAGATGTCTAGCACATTTATCTTGCTTTTAACCATTAACCATTATAAAGTTCTGAACAAGACTTTGATAGATGTCTTTCGTGCCATTATATCAATAATCAGTGTTAGAGATTTTTTTTTCAAAAACGATGAAGTACATGACAGCCTCTTCTTGAAACGTGATACATGGTGAGCGCGCGACCCCCAGTGCAGGCAGAAGAGGAGACCCAGCCAGCAGCGGTGGAGGGGCGTGCATGGGAAGAAAATATCTTTCATTGAGAAAATTGTTTTCAATAAAGAGTGGAAATTGTCTTCTTTGTTGTTTTTTTCCTTCACACACATACACGGAAACCCAGGTGTAATTACACATGAATCAGATTAAGTTGATTAATTTGCAGTAACGAAGCATATGATTCAGAATAAGTTAATCAGAATAGTAAACCAAACGTTAATTAGCATTTCACAATAAACTTAATAATTTTTATGGTTAATGAAATCAATATTTTTTTTATTGTCGATGTATGAATATGGCATGCACATAAACACGATTTGTGTAAGCCATTAGACCAAAAGGCCACGAGACTGTTTACCACGTGGCTCTAAGTGGCTCCGGCCACCTAGGGCTGGCTGGTCGGACACGAGACACCACACTCAACGACCGCCCCAACACGTGGCGTGTGGTCATTTGCATGCGTTGTGAGTCGTACGTACGTATAAAATTAAATAAAAATACATAAATAGAATTATATATAAAAGATGTCCATATATACTACTACTTACTACTTACTACTTACTACTTACTACTTACTACTTACTACTTACTACTTACTACTTACTACTTACTACTTACTACTTACTACTTACTACTTACTACTTACTACTTACTACTTACTACTTACTACTTACTACTTACTACTTACTACTTACTACACACACACACACACACACACACACACACACACACACACACACACACACACACACACACACACACACACACACACACACACACACACACACACACATACACACACACACACACACACACACACACACACACACACACACACACACACACACACACACACACACACACACACACACACACACATATGTGAATAAATAAATAAAATATGTCCATATATACTACTACTTACTACATATATATATATGTAAATAGATAAATATGAATACATATATATATATATATATATATATATATATATATATATATATATATATATATATATATATATATACATATACATATATATAAATATATATATACATATATATAAATATATATATAAATATATATATAAATATATATATAAATACATATATATATATATATAAATATATATATGTATATATATATAGATATATATACACATACATAAATATATATAAACACACACACACAAACACAAACAAACACACACACGCATTATGATAATGATAATAAATTTGATAATGATGAGGATGATGATGATGGCGATGATTGATGACGATGATAATAATAATCATGGAAGACTAATGATGACAGTAATAATAACTGTATTAATAATAATAATGTTGATAATGATAACAATTATAATAATGATATTAGCAATGATAATAATAATAATGATAATGATAATAATGATAATAATAATCATGATAATAATAATCATGATAATAATAATCATGATAATGATAATAACAATGATAAAAATGATACTACTAATAATGATAGTAATAATAATAATAATGATAATAATGATAATAACAATAGTAACGTTAACAGTAATAATAATAATGCTGATAATAACAATATTAATAACAGTATTTATAATTATAATAATAATGATAACAATAATATTAATAACGATAATAATAATAATAGTAATAATAATAATTATAATTATAATAATAATGATAATAAGAACAGTAACAATGATAATGATAATAATAATGGTGATTATAATGACAACAATAGGTACAGTAATTACGATAATGATAATGATGATAATAATGATAAAGATAATGAAAATGATAATGATAATAATGTTGATAATAATGATGATAATAATAATAATAATAATAATAATAATAATAATAATAATAATAATAATAACAATAAAAAGTAATGATATTAATAACAATAATAATAATAATAATAATGACAATAATAATATAAGGTTAATGATGATGGTGATCATAAAGATAAGTATAATAATATATTATATAATGAGCTGATGATGATGATAATGACGACGACGACGATGATGATGATGATTATGATGATGATGATAATGATGATGAGAATAATGATGATGATGAGAATAGAGATAATAGTAATAAGAATAATAAGAATATTAGGAATAATAAGAATAAGAATAAGAATAAGAACGATAATCATAATAACAATATGAAGATGAAGAAGAAGAAAGAGAACGAAAATATTGGTGGTTGAGAGGACGAAAAGAAGAAAATTGGGAAAAGGAAATGGAGAAAAGGAGAAAAGGAAAAGCAGGAGAAAAGGTAGAGGAAGAATAGAAAAAAAAGAGACAGGGAAGAGAAGATAAGAAGATATATATATATATATATATATTAACAGCTTGAAAATGTATGATCTAGATTAAAGAAAAAAAATATTTAATTTCACCTATTTCACTCGAAAGTCCTCTAAGATCGCTGCTTACACCGTAAAATGCATTTATCACAATGCTAATTAAACTTATGGCAGACACTTGTACACTTCCTGGGGGGGGGGGGGGGAGGAAAGGTTTCTACACCAACTGGCTCTCTTTTCCGTGCCCAGCGTTCGGAATCGGGCACGTGTTGGTAAAATGGCAATCTCACCGTAGAACAAGGTACCCCAGAATAGGGACAAGGTCTCATAACTACTGTCTCAGTCTTAAGGAAATTAATTAAACCGCCCATTTTGGCCAGAAAGAAGGCGTAGGAGGAGGAGAGGAAGCGAAGGGAACCCGCAAGTATCTTTTTTTTTTCAAACCCATTATCATTTTGCGGGAAGAAGAGAACAGAAAAAGGAAGCGATAGGCCGCCGCCACCCCCCACCCCCTTCCCCCCCTCCTCCAACTGTGTCTCAGAGAGGAGATTTCTCTCTTGAAAATACTCTTTGAAATTCCAGTATCAATTTAGGGGGGCATAGCAGCATATTTTCTTTACAACCGGGAATACAATGATTTTTTTTTCACTACTTAAAAAAAAAAAAAATGCAATCGATCGTAGTTCAGCAAGAATTCATAGCATTGCGAAATTTCATTGCGTGTGGGGAACTAAAGAAATAACTTTGGGTTAATGGCTGTGTATCAAATAACAACTCTCAGCCCAATAAAAAGAAATTATTTGAATATTGAAGACGCTAATGGTGCTAATGATGCATAATGTGAGGTATTTTTATTAATCAACAGCAAAATATTATATGTGTGGAAAGATACGATTAAGCCTATATATTTAGAAGAGTATTTTTGGGATTTTTAAATTTTCATATTGTTATATTTTTACTCTTCAATTTTAAAGTGCTATCAGTATCTGAATTAATCATATTGTTAAATTAATAGAGATGTGGTTAATGCTATATTTTTACACTCCAAATTCAAAGTGCGATCAATATACTCAATTATTCATATCAGTAAATTAGTAGTTATGTAAAATCGTTCCCAATATATCTAAAAAAAAAAGAATCTAAAAGTAACAAAGTAAAATAAGTAAGTAACAAAAAAAAAGTCAAATTTTTAGCAAAATTAGTAGTTCTGTAAAATCGTTCCCAATATATGTAAAAAAAATTCTAAAAATAAATAAGTAAATTAATAAGTAAAAAAAGTAAAATTTCAGCAAAATTAGCAGTTCTGTAAAATTGTTCCCAATATAGGTAAAAATTTCTAAAAGTAAATAAGTAAATTAATAAGTAAAAAAAAAGTAAGTAAAAAAAAGGTAAAATTTCTGCAAAATTAGTAGTTCTGTAAAATCGTTCACAATATATCTAAAAATAAATAAGTAAATAAATAAGTAAAAATAAATAGATTAAAAATAAAAAAGTAAATTAATAAGTAAAAAATAAATAAGTAAATTAATAAGTAAAAATAAATAAGTAAATTAATAAGTAAAAAAAGTAAATTGATAAGTAAAAAAATAAGTAAATTAATAATTAAAAAGAACAAATAAGTAAATTGATAAGGAAAAGAAAAGGTAAAATTTCAGCAACAACGAATGCGCGTCAAGTAAACAACAGAGCTCAGTCGTAATCGTTGTCTTGAGGGATTCTCTGCCGCTACGCTTTCCTTGCGAGTGTTTTTGTAGTGTTTTTGTTGACTTTTGTTTGTTAATCTGAAGGCAGCGAGGAAGATGAGTTCTTCACACGCTGAAAAGGATCTGGATAACACGAATTGTAGTCGTGGTGTCTGGTTGGTGAAAGTAAGTCCTGTTTCCTTTGACATGTTGTTTTGGGTTTTCTTTCTCCTCTCTTTATCCTTTTTCGTATTTTTTCCTGAATGAGTAGATCTCTTTTAAACCATTGATTTGTACTTATACAGTAGGGTAAGGGAGATAATGAAGTTAATTATGAAGATAGGGTAAATCATAGGAGCTAGATATTGTCTATGTTAGGTATGGTTTCGGTTTGACACAGCCATATGATACAAGGAAATTTGTGCCTCTAATGGTAAAATGACGAAAAGTAAGGGCAAATCTTTATGATATTGATGCACAAAGCTAGGGCAACTTGTAGATGATATTCTTACAGACGTTGGGGTAAATTTCAGGTTTCAACCAGCCTTGGACTTTCGAAACAATTTTTTTTAATGCAATATTCCTTTGTTGTTCAACAAAGTTGTGGTGTTGTATTCCATCGCATTTAACTCACTGATGAGTGGTGTGAATTGTATTCTCAGACAGCAAAGTTGATAGACTGTGTAAGTGTTGGCTTTGCACTGATTTTTTAGAAAGAATTAGCATGATTTACATGCAGCAAATTAGAAGAAAAATACTAAAATATCTTTGAATCATGTTTGTTGAAACTCTTTGTGGATGGGAGCCATGCTTCACCTTTACAATTTTAGTGTATGCGGATGTCACTCTCAAACAACAAACTTTCAACACATAACATAACTTGCTAACCATAGTGATGGTTATCATCAAATATGGTAACAGTTCAATAATAATGTTTGCAATAAAATGTAAAATGGAATTTATTTACCTTTGCCTAAGCACTAATTACTTCAGAGGCTGTAGCGGTCACTTCGTGATGCACAGCTTAACCCATTGCCGCCGGGGAAAATGATTAAAAAATGGGGAAAATGCCGTGCCTATTTTCTGTACTTTTTTGTTAAATGTCTGCCCATAGATGGCTCTGTTACCGCCTGATTTGAAATGGCGGAAAAAACGTATTTTTTACTAGTGCCATGAATATCGATGGTGTTTTTTTTATCATAAACATTATAATTTTTATAATGTTTATAACATTAGTAACAGCAAAATAAGATAATGTAAAATATTTCGTAAATCAAAGAAAAGGGTGAACGAGTGAGACAGGCGGTACTCATAACTGCCTCATTGGTGATTTAGTAGAAGTGTAGCCATCTATGTGTGAAAACAATCTAACAAGTAATCTCACAGTGGGCATGGCATGGCATGCCCGGCGGGAATGGGTTAATATAACTGCCAATCCAACGTAACTAGAAATGTTTTTAACTTGATTTTGTCACATGCTATGATAGCACATTAGATCCATCAATTGTGGTTGTTTGCAATAGACAATGGTAATAATTTTATTTTGATTTTTTCATTGCCATGTAGTACAATTGTAATTGACCGAATATCCAGAAATAAAACACTTCATCCATGGTATTTCTATTGCAATAAGAAAGCTGTGCAACATGTAAAATTTTGGTTATATATATGTATAAAGAAATTTAATGATATAAAGAAAAGGAAAAAAATATGCTCACTGTTACATGAAATAATCTAGGCAGGTAAAAAGTAATGTCAGAAATTAAGAAAACAGATCTTGACAAATATTGCATGGAAAGTAAGTCCACAGGTTTGAGTGGAGGTCCAGAAGCAAAGCCACTGATAGGAAAATACTATGATTGGAAGGGGGTCTGGAGGCAAAGCCCCCGGGGTTAGGTAGTGTTTGGTTCATACGGCAATGTTTATGGAATTACTACAGCCAGGAATGGCTGGAGTAATTGAGCATAATCTCAGAAGGGAGATTCCCTTCATAAACATTACAATATTTTCATCTGTATCTTTTATGGTGGAAAATAGCCGTTCTATTTTCTGGCGGGAAAAAACGTATTTTTTACTAGTGCCATGAATATCGATGGTGTTTTTTTATCATAAACATTATAATTTTTATAATGTTTATAACATTAGTAACAGCAAAATAAGATAATGTAAAATATTTCGTAAATCAAAGAAAAGGGTGAACGGGTGAGACAGGCGGTACTCGTAACTGCCTCATTGGTGATTTAGTAGAAGTGTAGCCATCTATGTGTGAAAACAATCTAACAAGTAATCTCACAGTGGGCATGGCATGGCATGCCCGGCGGGAATGGGTTAATATAACTGCCAATCCAACGTAACTAGAAATGTTTTTAACTGATTTTGTCACATGCTATGATAGCACATTAGATCCATCAATTGTGGTTGTTTGCAATAGACAATGGTAATAATTTTATTTTGATTTTTTCATTGCCATGTAGTACAATTGTAA